ACAACAACTTATTTCCGAAACCAATCCTGACTTTATTTGTTTACAAGAAACAAACTTTACAGAAACGCACAACCCTCATCTAAAAAACTTTGTTGGTTATCACCATATCAGAACTACACACCGACGCGCTAGCGGAGGAACAACAATTTTCGCATCAACTGAAATTTTTCACCGTAAACTTCACCTAAACACTGCATTAGAAGCTGTTGCTATAACAGCATGGTGTCCAGAACAAATCACAATATGTAGCTTATATATTCCTCCTAATTATACATTGACAAGCAATGAATTAGAAAACCTAATATCTCAAATTTCTGGCCCACTTATTATGGTTGGAGATTTAAATGCACACAACACTATGTGGGGATCCAAAAATACATATGGTAGAGGTAAAATAATCGAAAATGTCATTAACAATACTGATATTAACTTATTAAACACAGGAAATAATACATACTTTCATGTTCAGTCAGGAAGCTTCTCATCAATAGACTTAAGCTTATGTGATCCCAAAATACACCCGTTACTAACCTGGCATACTCTAGATAGCTTATTTGATAGCAATCATTTTCCCATTATTATTACTAACAATGCAGTCAAATCGGAATATACAAAAACGAGATGGAAAATCTCAGATGCTAATTGGGAACTCTTCAAACTAACTGTAAAAGAACGCACAGATGTACTCAAATATCAAAATAACATAGACGAAGACATAAAACAACTAAACCATTGCATAGTTTCATCCGCAGAGGAGTGTATCGGCAAATACAAAATTAACCCAAAAAAAAACACGTTCCCTGGTGGAATGACTCATGCAAAACAGCAATACAAGAAAGCAAAAGAGCTTTAAACAGATTCCGAAAATCTCGCACTCTAGCTGACTTAATAAATTTCAAAAGGCTCAGAGCAAAAACCAAACGAATAATAAAAAACAGTAAACAAACTTCATGGAATCATTTTACCAGCTCTATTACCAAAGATACCCCACCGACTCAAGTATGGCCAAAAATAAAGAGAATGAAAGGACATTACACATCATACAAAATTCCAGCTCTCACAATTCAGGACAAAATAATTACAGATGACCAACAAATCAGTCATATGCTTTCCCAACATTTTCTCAACAAATCAAATAATAATCCACATAACGAAATTGATGCTACTCAAAAAACGTACAATACTAATCATCCCATTAATATACCTTTCAGTTTCCAAGAACTAAATGATGCCCTTTCTTCAACAAAAAGCTCAGCTGCAGGTCCTGACGATATTCCCTCTATCTTTTTAAAAAACCTTCACCAAAATACATACGAGAAAATACTCCAACTGTTCAACAAAATTTGGTCTTCTCAAAAATTCCCGTCACTATGGAAACAATTCCTAATCATTCCTATCAAAAAAAGGCGATTAATCCCTAGACACGCTGAACTTATACAGGCCGATCTCTCTCACCTGTACATTATGTAAACTTTTAGAAAAAATGGTTAATAAAGGATTACTTTGGTACCTCGAACAAAATAAAATCCTCGACCAATTTCAATCAGGCTTCAGACCAAATCGATGCACCTTGGACAATCTTGTACTTCTGCAATCAACAATTGCGACTGCGCTATCTAACAAAAATGAAGTCATTGCAATTTCCCTTGACATCGAAAGCGCTTTTGACTCTATACCGATTTCTGTGATACTAAACAAACTAAGCCAGAACAAGCTATCCGGTAATATATATTCGTTTATAAAAAATTTTCTCACAGACCGATCCTTTAAAGTAATTACTAATGGCAAAACTTCCTCCCAGCACACAACCACAAACGGTGTCCCACAAGGGTGTGTTCTAAGCAGTACACTATTTCTCCTTAGTATTAACGACTTTAGCTCATTTATAAACGACCCTGTGCAATACGGAATATATGCCGACGACATAATATTATTTTGTCATGGAAAGGTCACTTCCAGCACAAATGCTTTACTACAAAATACGCTAAGTAAAATAAACAACTGGGTTAGTCAATCCGGAATAAACTTTTCCTCATCTAAATCCAAAGTTATTCATTTTACTAGAAGACAAAACACGCAATCTCCAACCATTACTCTGAATGGAAATTTTCTAAAAGTAGTAGACCAAATAAAGCTTCTCGGCATTATTTTCGATAAAAAACTTTCCTGGAGACCACACATTCGAGAACTTAAGGGTAGCTGCCTACAAAGAATGAATCTCCTTAAATCACTAGCCCATTATAGTTGGGGAGCCGATGAGGAAACACTACTAAAAATATATCGAGCTCTTATTCGCTCCAAACTTGACTATGGTAGTGTTCTCTACATGTCATCAAGTAAATCACTACTACGTTCACTTAATGTCGTCCACAATACTTCCCTTCGACTTTGTTTAGGAGCATTCCGATCCAGTCCGGTGGAAAGTATTCATGTAGAATGTTTCGAACCTTCGCTTCATCTAAGACGACAACAACTTCTACTACTCTATTTCGCTAGAGTTTCAGCAAATCCCACAAATCCCAGAAGAAACCTCATCTGTAATAGACAATTACCAGTTACTAATAATCCTAGAATGGTACCGTCCACTATACAGATGCTACTTCCTTATTTAGATATCAATCTGTTGTCGACCAGCCCTTTCACGGTCCCTCAAATCCCTCCATGGATATGTAAACTTCCAAATTTTAATATCGAATTATCCAAATATAATAAGAATGAAATATCACCTTCCATTATCAAACAAAGATTCTATGAAATACTACATCAATGCAACTTCGATAAGATCCTTTACTCAGACGCATCTAACACTGAAGAAGGTGTTGGTTGTGCTGTTACAACGACTACAACCACCGTCAGCTTGTTTTGACTCTCCAGCAGTTGCAGTATTTATACTGCTGAACTATATGGAATACTACAGGCGGTGAAAACTCCGCTCAATGATGGTAAAACTATAGCAATCTATACAGACTCTCTATCCTCCATGCAGTCCATAAGAAACGTACATTCTATCCACCCAATAGTTCAAGAAATCCAGAGCATATGTAATCGTCTTCAAACTAACGGAATAGCAGTAACGATATTGTGGGTCCCATCACATGTTGGTATTCCAGGTAACGAAAAAGCCGATCAAGCAGCAAAACAAGCATGTTCTCTTAACGTTACAACAGACATTCAAACATAAAATAATGGACCTTTGGAATGATCAATGGAAAAAAAGCAATACCAAGTTAAGCGTTCTACAACCAAACATTTTCTACCACAAGTTTTCACCAATGAAAAGAAAGGACAAATCTATCATTCGAAGATTGAGAATAGGACACACACGCTTTACACATGTACACCTAATGAGTGCCAGTATTGCAACACCACGACTTCCGTAGCACATGTACTTCTTGACTGTCAACACTACCTAGCGGCCAGAAGAAAATTTAATCTTGGTAACAACCTAAAAGACATTCTTATTTCAAACAGCAGTAACTACGAAAATATATTAAACTTTTTAAAAAACACAAAGTTATACAATTTAATTTAAAACAAAATGTATTAAAAAAGTGTATTGTAACTAATTTGTACTCCATGTAAAGTATTAACCATGTAAACATAAATGTAAATTGTACCTGTGTCAATGACCATTAGCTGTCGAGACACATATGTTCGAAATAAAAAAAAATACTCCATAATTAAGGTTGTATTTAAAATTAATAGAATTAAGTTCAATCGGCTGAGAAGGACCAAAAATGAATAGTAATTGTAGGAAATATGAAAACGAATTGGTAAATTTAAGATTGAATTTCAAATAATATGGTTCTACAAGTTATGCACAAAATCGCTTACCTTAAATTGGTGTTCTTTAGGATTTGGTTGACTATGCAGACCCAAATGTGATTACTCAATTCATCACTTCAATGAATTCCTTCCATGAAATTCCTGTTGTACACGAGACGGTACCGCCAGATACGTAAGGTCCCAAAATTATTAACCTTTTTCGTTAAAGGTTGGAATCAAAGTCGTACCTTGTCGGTTAAAATCTACTCATTGGAGCATGCCCATTTGGGTAAGTATATGAGCGATTGTGTGCGTGGAACTAAATCATATTATATCGCGCTTTTGAATGAAATGGGACCAATAAGTACATAAGATTATTCTGCATAATTTTAATAAAATATAATTATTAAAGATCTAAAACTTATTCTACCCAAAATAAATTAAATATTATAATAATATTTAATATAAAATAAAGAAATAAGGATTCCTGAACATGTACAATATTAAGTAGTTGGTAACTAAGCAATAAAAACACAATAATAAACTAGTATGTCATAAAAAACATAATAAACGCTGTAGTGTAGTGTACAATTTATGTAAACTTAATAAAATAATATTGAAACAGATAAATTATAAGAATTCAACAGTGAAAATTTTTTCACATCTCCATAAGGTCTCTAATTATTTGTTGTTTATATATTTGGTATATTTTCAACTTTTCTTTTTACTGCATTCTACCCCATTGCAAAATATCATTTTCTCTAATAATGCGTAATTATTTGTTATGGGAATATATCGTATCCCTTAAATACTAATTTCTAAAATTGAACGTTAGGTGTATACTTTTTTAATACAAATTTTTGAATGAGTTTTTAATTAATTTTAATTTGATATATGAATATTTTGCCCAGAAAAAATAAAAGAAAGTCAGTTTATCTGTTACTGAAGAGTTATTTGTCAAATACCCAAATATTTGTATATTTGTCAAAAAAACCTAATACATATATAGAAAAATATTTAAACATCGGATCTATAATGAGTTTACGCTTATTTCTACGCCAAATCTGTATAAATTGATGAGTAAGGATATTTATTCTATTTCTGAATAGACTATAAAAACCTAAATTTCGAACTAAAATTTTTATCAATGTTTTAGTTTTGGAAATGAATCCTCAGTGTATCTTATAGGATGTAAACAAATGTATGATTTAATATAAAATGTAAAAAATATTTACCAACTCCCTCTAGTCTCTTTAAAGTATGACCAACTTTTAAATAAATTACTCCTAGTAGGTAATATAAAGGAATCACTACAAGCGATGGAATTATCATCCATGGGGATACTATAAACACCATTACAAAAACACCACACGTTACCAGTACAATTTGTATAGCGTCAATCGTAAGACGTGGTAAAAGTTCATCTACAGTTCCCATATCTTTTGAAAATCTATTGAGAATTCTACCTAAAATTTTTTAGAGAAATCAAATATACGTATAAAGACAAAATAAATTATAAGTGTATAATAGTAACTTCTGTCATTAGTCTTTTATAAGGTATTCTTTTCTATTCTGGAAATTGCCTGTTATGAACCGGTCGTACTCAAGCCAATAATTGATTTATTTTGTATATTTAGGTACATATACAAAAAACCGGCATATCTATGTTTCGTGGACCTTAAGAGGGTATTTGACTAGGTCAAATTAAAGGGCGTTATCCACCTATTGTACGCAAGAGAAATAATCAAAACGATCAAAAATATCTACCAAGATTGAAGCTGGCAATGGGATAAGACAGGGAGATTCCATCGGTCCTCTATTGTTCAACCTAATTATGAGTAAAATAATAAAAAATGTAAGAACTAAAGAAGTATACCAAATGGGAAAAAACAACTTAAAATAATCTATGCAGATGATGCAATACTACTCTTCCAAAGTGAGAATGATTTATAAAGTATGCTGCATCAATTCAATATAACCGCCAGAAAATTTAACATGTTAATTTCCCCAAAAAATAATTGCAGGTTGCCTGAATGAAACAATAAGGAGAAATAAAAATGTCGCGAAAGAAATGAAAGACAGAATTTACAAAACAGTAATCCGACCAATAATGACATTCAGGGCAGAAACACGACCTGGCGCAGAGAGGACAAAAAAGATGTTAGAAACAGCAGAGATGAAAACATTTTGAAACAAAAAAATTCATGGTAAAACACTATGGCACAGCAAGGTATGTGGATGAAAAGTGGAGAATATCAAGAACTGGATAAGAAAGAGAAAAGTAAAATGGAAGGAACATATAAGCCAAATAACAACAAACAGATTAGTAAAGACGGCAAGAGACAATTTCTAAATAGGAAGACGATCAGTAGGAAGACCACGAAAACGATAGAACGACAACTTACTGGAGGGACATTGAAAAACAGGGAGTTATGTTTATATAAAAAGAAGAAAAAGAAGAAGAAGAAGAAAAAGAAGAGGTACATATTATGCACATAAAATAACCTACTATACTGCCTACTGTATCATCCTTTTTTATTTATTAATTGCATTTTATATTCTACTCCAGATATAAACAAAAACTTAACTTAACATTAACTTATAAACTTATTAGTAAAAGGTTTGTAAGAATTGATGTTAAACCCCAAGAAGTGCCAGCTATTTTAATATAAAGTCATTTATCTGGGCCACTCTCTCTTCTCTTCAATCCTGATCCCCCAGGGGGAGTGTAGTGGTCGACGTGATGTCGTGTATTGTCCCTCTCCAGAGATCTCTGTCTCTGGTCATTTTTTTTAATTCATGCATAGGTCTTTGGCATATAGTCCTGTAATTTGATCTATCCATCTTGTTGGGGATCTTCCTCGTGATCTTCGGCCTTCTACCTTTCCTTGTATTATGAGTCGTTGGCTAACTTTTAGCTCTCTTAAAATTGAATTATTTGATCTACGGTCGGTCCAAGGAATTCGTAACATTCGTCTCCAACAGAACATTTTAGTGGCGTCTATCTTTCTTCTCTCCGATTGTCTCAGAGTCCAAGATTCACATCCGTAGGTCAGTATTGGGAATATTAAGCAGTTGATCAACCTCATCTTTATCGCTCTTGAAATTTGACAGTCCTTCCATATTTTGGTCATTTTTGCTGTGGCAACTTTTGCTAGCACTTTGCAGCTGGCATCTGGGCCATATAGTCAGTAAAAAAGGAGTGGCCGTGGATAAGGGAAAAATCGATTCAATTAAGGAATGGCCAAAACCAACTGACAAACATCAAGTGAGAAGTTTTCTTGGACTATGTACTTATTACCGGAGGTTTATTAAGAAGATTGCAGATATCGCTAAACCATTAACGCGACTTACAGAGGAAGCAAGAGAATACCGTTAGGATACAGACTGCCAAAATGCCTTAAGAGACCTTAAATGCTTTTTAAGAGGCCTTAAAAAGCATTTAATCACAGCACCAATTTTAGGGTATCCACTGCCAGAAGGAGAGTTCATCTTAGATACAGATGCAAGTACTGTGGGAATTGGAAGAGTACTGTCTCAGATTCAAGGAGGACAGGAAAGAGTGCTTGGATATTTTAGTAAAGTTCTCTTGAAACCTGAGCGGAATTATTGCGAGAAGAGAACTTCTGGCAGTAGTAAAATCAGTAGAGCACTTATATCAATACCTCTATGGAAAGAAGGTTTTAATCCGAACCGACCATGCCGCCCTTAAGTGGTTGATGCAGTTTAAGAATCCAGAGGGTCAGATAGCCAGGTGGATCGAACGACTCCAAGAATACAATTTCAAAATTAAGCATCGTTCCGGAGTTAGCCACCGAAACGCTGATTCTCTTTTCAGAAGGCCATGCCCATCAGAGTGTTCCCACTGCAACAAAACGGAATCCAAGGAAGCAGCAGTGCTAAGAACAACGATGGTCAACGACGACTAGACGCCTACCAAGATAAGCGAAGAAAAAGAGAGAGATCCAGTTATACAGAAAATTCTAAAATGGCAAGAGGAAAAAAAGAAATATCAAACCTATGCTCAGTAGTTAAGACGTATTGGGCCCAGTGGGATTTATTTATCATGGAAGATGGCTTGCTCAAACGAGTCCTGGAAAATGATGTCGGTTCAGAGAAGAAAAGACAGTTGTTTTATTGGATGAATAGTTCCGACGATGTAAAAGACTGGTGTAAGAAATGTACTATTTGTGCTACGAGTAACGGGCCTTTTTGAAAAAGGAGAGCTCCTATGAGACAATATAATGTTGGATGCCCGTTTGAAAGAATAGCTTTGGACATTGCTGGGCCATTCCCAGAAAGTGAAAATGGAGGCAAGTACATGTTGGTAGTAATGGATTACTTCACTAGTGACCAAGGCAGGAACTTCGAAAGCGATCTATTTCAAGGAATATGTGATAGCCTAGGTATGAAGAAAACAAGAATTACGGCTTATCATCCGCAATCGGATGGTATGGTAGAACGGATGAATAGGACAGTTGGCAAGTATTTGACAAAGATGGTGTCCGATCATCAGCGAGACTGGGACCAATATCTTTCGTTCTTCACAATGGCCTACAGATCTGCTGTTAACGAATCGACAGGCCAGACACCAGCCAAAGTGTTATTTGGACGCGAAATGCGACTACCTTGTGATCTAGAGTTTGGGTGTCGACCTGGAGAAGATATAGCAGGTCAAGATTATGTGATCGAATTACGAAGAAGAATGGATGCTGTACACGAGTTGGTCCGTTCCCATCTTCAGATCGCTAATGACTGAATGAAGAAACGGTACGATACGCAAGCCGAAAAGGGGTGTTTTAAGAAGGACGACAAAGTCTGGCTCTGTAATTCCAAAAAGCGAAAAGGTTGTTCTCCCAAGTTGCAGCAGTTTTGGGAAGGTCCATACCTCATTATGGAGAAGATCAATAATGTCATTTACCGAATAAGCAAGATTCCGAGGGGAAAGCCGATGATAGTACCCCATAACTGGCTGGCGTCTTTCGAAGGTGACCACGACGTAGATGAAGAAGTGAACCTAAACCAAGTTCAAGATGTATCTGACCTCACGTTTGAGAAATTCATGGGTGACTATGGAGGTACCGGTAAAGCAAGACATGGTGTTACCACTGAAGAAAGGCCAGATCTAGTCGCTCTTTCCGATGACTACTCACTAGCCCTTACCATCCCGGCCAGTATTAAAGACGCACCAGGGTTAGCATCCGTCTTTCGAAGAAAGTTTGGTCAAGTTGCAGAACTTCAATGCCAAGTGCCAGCTCCCGGTAAAATCTTGAAACTCCAAGATGCATCAGGCTACCTTTTCTACCTGGTAACAAAAGACACCGCCCGTGACCAACCTACCTACCGAGATGTATGGAAAGCCTTACTTCAGTTGAGAGAGCACGTACTAGAGTCCGACGTACAAAAGTTAGCCATGCCAAAGTTGGAGTGCCGCCAATTAGATTGGAGGGTTATACGAAATATGGTGGAGGGTATCTTTAAAGACACCGTTCTGTTAGTCTGTTGCATTCCGCATAGTTCCTTGTGCGGAGAGAAAACCGTCCCTTGTCATTTTTATACAACTGGAAGTTGTGTAAAAGAGGGTCCAGTTGCCGATACCGGCATACCGTTCCAGTTCCAGTCCCGACAAGGTTCCAGGAGGAACCATCTTTTAAGAGTGGGGCAATGTTACGATAATAAATATTATGGCGTATAAAACTGTAAATATATTATGACTAATTCTTTTATATTTCTAGTAATTTTGGCGCTCATACCTATTTACCTGCCGGCAGAAATTACTACACCCTTCTTCGAGATCAAGAATGCAGCCGGCGGCGTGGCCCTCCGAATTTACCAGAAGGCGATCAACTTTTCTAGTCTAGCTGAATGAGTCACCTAATGGATGGAAGGTCATCAAGGCATCGCCAGACCCTTCTAGATAACAACATTTCATATAAATAACGGTGATTCTCATTGAGGAATTTAGTCAAAAAAAGGAAGTCCGGACTCGTGTTAAAATTGTATCGCACGTAGATAAATTATTTGTAAAATAAATTAGTAGTAATAAAGACTTTGATAAATTAGTGAGTGTTATAAGTATAGAACCTTTAATAAATAAGAACAATAAATTAGAATTAATAAAGACGTTATAATATACATAATCTCGTCAAGAAAAATCAGAGTGGGCAGTGTAGATACAAAATTACGGAAAATCCGACACCTGTGTTGTGTATAATAATACGCAAAGCAGTAGACGGTTTCTTAGTTATAAATAAGAGTTTAACATTTCCTCTTGTATTAATTGTTATTTCTACGGATTTACTTTAATATTTTATTGCTCCAGCCAATCTTGTAGTATGATCATTATAACAGGGCCATCAGCGAATGTCTCTATCAGCATTAAATTTGTAAGCGGGACATAAGAAGTGAATAGTAAAAACTTTAGAGCGCGGTTCTGTTACATTACTTACATGTGTGCTTTTTAAAC